CAAAATTATGCACAAACCTCCTCCCCCCCCGCCCCCTGTCCTATATTGAATGCAGCTGTAATTAATTGAAAATTGCGGGAAGAGATGCGTTTTCCACGTGTGAATGTAACAGCTAAGGGCGGTCGGGTAGACAGGACACCTCGTTCCTGCTCATCACGGGTGGAATCGTTCTCTCCAGCTGGGATGGGTGGTGTTGTAAGTCTCGCAGAGGTACAAGATACAACTATTCGGTTTTCATCTATCACAAAAGCAGGCTTCGTTGGATGAAGCACCCATATTAACCAACTTTCTGCCTCTCCGTCCCTAGTTTTATTTATTTTCCTTGGATGCGGGACCGAGGTGGTAAAAACCAAACAAAAGCACTTGCGTTTGTGTCGGCACTTTGTCGTCGGGGCAGCACCCGCATTAGATTATTGCCAGGGATTTATTTGCATGCAGCTGCAAACCCACAAGCCGGCTGCTGACCGCTGCGCATAAAGGGCTGCCGGGGCCGGCCCCTGCCCGGCCGCCGCGGCTCCCGGTGGGAACACGGCCCGGGGGCCGCGGGGGGAGGATTTGGGAGTGGGTTTGCTCCCGACACGGCCCGGGGGGATGGTCACAGAGCCGACAGCAGCAGGGTCCCCAGCGCAGCCAGAGGCTGCAGGTGCGGGGGATGGGGGTGGGAGGGGGGGGCGGAGGCGGTGCCGGCCCGCAGCCCCCCCTCCCCGCCACCCGGCTCGCCCCCAAAGGCAGCCGCAGCTCCCACTGGCCTTGCTCACAAGCACATCCAAGAAAAGCTTTTCCTAATGCCTATGTCCCGGGGAAAATAAAAAGGACCGGTGGCAGATCCTCGGGATTTCTCAGAGCTATTTTCAGTGCTTTGAAATTTGTAGTAATGTTGATGTTCTTTTTTCCCCGTCTTCTACCCTCTCTTCGGCCCAGTAGCGTTTGGCAGCGTTTGACGAGGGAGCTATTAACCTTTGAAGCAAGGGCTTTAGATTTAAACTACCTCCTTCGCAGCCCTCTGTATGCCTCTCCCCCTCCCACACAGGCACGATGCGAGGATGGATTTGGCTGCATAGGATCGATGTAAATGTCTCCTCAGGCCTCCCTCTACCTCGGGCTACACTACCAAGTGTCCTTCATCTTCTCCCGGCGAACCCAGTAAAGGCTCAAGGCTCCTGGAGCTGGAACTGGCTCCCCTCCGAGTACAGCGGGATCAAAACCTGCCTCCAAAGCGGGACCGGCTCGGGGACGAGCCCCACAGTAGCGCTGCTGTGGTCTGGCCCATCTTTCTCTCCCTGAGGGGAAGGAGGGAGTCAAACGAGCTATCAGCAAACTTAGGGGGACTTCTGAGCGTCCCTCTCCTCCGACGGCCAGCATGGGACTGTAGGAGAAGGGCAAGAAAAACTGGGTTCGGGGAACTTTATTTGTCAGAGGAAAAAGATGTTCCCAATCTATGCAGGCTCCTTCCACTGGGCGTGAGCAGGAGAGGCCCCTCCGGGCTTTTCTGCCAAAGGCAGGGGGCTGCGGAGCGGGAGCTGCCAGACAGGGAGGCAAGGTCGGAAAACCTGCCCTAGGGGGAGAAGCTGGAAGGGCAATGGGAATGCACACAGACACACGGAGGGTCACGTTCGCGCCTCGCATCCCCACAGCGGTGCGTGGAGATGTCGCGCTGCCCCTTGGCCAGGCCACGCCGCCGCAGGGATTGAAATCCCTGCGCGCTGACGGGCCGGGGCGGGCACGCCGGGGCGGCCGGAGGGCAGCCCACCCTGCCGGGCCGCCCCGTCTAGAGCCGGGCTCCCCGAGTGCGGCCCGGTCGCGGTAGGGATCTGGCAGGGCTGCTCGGGCGCAGGAGGGGGTGTCTCCAACCCCATGCCCCCAGAAAACTGGGGAATAGGAGGATGGACTGCATGCGCAAATTAGGATGCGCCCGTGTGCTGCAGTGGGCAGCGTTTGTGGGGAGCAGGTCAGTAACACGAGTGGCCAGGAAAAGTGCGGGGAAAGGCAGGAAGGCATGAAACCATTCGCCGACTCCTTGCGGAGCGGGAGTGTGTTGTCATCTTTGTTTTGGTTGTGATGTTTTGTTTTGCAGGAGATTGGGACAATAGCTGGAGTGGATTACTCATTCCCGTAGGCAATACTTGCCTGTATGGGCTTCAGGATGCAGTTGGAAGCTTGGGAACAAAGCGGGCATCGAATGTCAAGGTAACTGGTCCCCTTCCTTTGTTTATGCTATTGTTAATGACGGGGCTCACTCAGCCCTGGCCTCAGCCGTGCTGTATGGCATTAATATTGACTTGAGAGAATAGGCAGGGCAATTAAAACCCAAACCCAGAACAACAGCAGCATCCAGCCCAAGCCCAGTTTTTCAGGTAAAACATGCCTCTTCTGGGCCCTGAGAATGATATAGTAGTCTTGCCTGGTATTTGTAGAAACACACACCATTCATAGAATTAAACACATCCCTATACAGCATTAACACATAGGGGAGACACTGTAACCCTCTATTTCAGTATCAAATCAAAAAGGAAACAGCATACCCACATATTAATATGAGGGAATTCTCATCAGGATAAAAAAAAAATTAAAGAAAATAATAGAATTATTATTTTAATTATGATAATCTAAAACTAGTAGAAACCTGAGCATTTATTGACTAATTTTCTTCTTGAGGTAGCGGATGGTATTTAAAGTTCAACATTTCACACGGCTTCTGGTTTAGTCTGTTTTTCTCGACAATTTAGGCAATTTCAGCAAACTGGGTTAAAATTTTTGGTACACATCTGAGTATGGATCTGCATAAAATAGAGAAGGTGAGAGAATTGGGGAGAGGATGTTTTATTATTTTGAGAAGGGAGCGCATGTTTGCATGTGTGTGTGTATGCATATGTGTGAGAGAGAGTGAGAAACAAATGGAAAGATTTGCACCTTACATTTGATCTGTAGCTTTAGTGTGGAGTCTGAAACAAATATCTATTAGATTTCTCTGAAAAATGTCCCACTCAGGCAGGCAGACCCCTGATTTGAATGAGAGCTCCAGGTGAAGAAAGAAATTAATGTTATTCCAGAAGAATTCTTTATCAACTCTTTTTTTTTTCTTTGTCTAGAAAGATTAATTTCATCTCTCCTATCCTGGGCCCATTTTCTGTCAGTGAAGGGATATAATAATGATCAATGCCCAGTACTTCTCATATCTTTTGTAGTTGGTAAATATTTGTAATGTTTTGAATGTGGAAGGGAGGTGAAGAGATGAGCCCAATCTCAGCTTCAGAGGATCCTCATGAGTACTCACACAGAGGGAGGAAAAATCCAAACAACCAAGCCAACCTGTTCAGAAGACCCTCCAGCCCAAAACTCTACAGTCATGCAGATAGTTTTTGTATTTTATCTTCTTGCTTGGTGAAAGGGTCTGCATACATTGGGCTATCTGGGTCTATGTGACCAGCTCCAGGTGTACATTAGTACTCCAGCTGAAAATAGAATCTGGAGTTGTTCAGCAAACAGTTCCCATTTGACTATAGTGTGGACTGAATGCTGTATGGAGTGGTGGCAGGGAAGTAGCTCCAACTATTTCCAAAACTAATAACAAAAAGGTTACTATATATAAAATGTTTATACAGCCCACATTCCCTCAAGATGTTTAAATTTTGGTTTGATGCATATAAATATAGCAGACATACCCAGTTTCCCATTAGCCAGTCCCTGCTTTTTAAGATCAATTCATTTCAGTTTGAAAGAATGGCCCCATACTCAAGACAGTCAACAACCCTTTGACTTTTTCCACTCAGTGTGGACCTCGGGAAGAAATAGGATCTGTCTTTGTCATTTCACGAGTATCACAGTGCCTTGACATTGTGTTGTAAGAGCAGGCCTACTACCAGGGAGAGTAACAGTCTCCAGCTGGTTCCCCCTTTCTAATGCATTTTCCCCTTCTCATCTTAGGATCCTTTTGAGGAAGAAATAGTTCTGCTAGGACTCCATACTTGGACTTTGGAGGGCATGGCACAGCGGTCTGATATGAGAGCACTATCCCTGCAGATGGAAACTGTCCTCTGTATCCTGCGCCCTGCAAGAGAGGCAGCGAGGGGACACTTGAAGTAACCAAGCATCTGGCATCAAGCCTGACAATCCACTTCACACTATGTGAAGGAAAGTTTGTTCCAAACCACATACTTTGTGGTGCTCAATACTGGTGTCAAACTGGTTTGAACTGTCCCAGGTCTAAAATAAATATCTCCATTATGGTATGACAGTGAACTTGTCTCGCTAAACTTTCCCTGTTTATATTGGAGGTACAGAGCTGATGTAATGCTGTCTTTTCACCCATGGATGGATGCAATACGAACAATTCAGAAAAGTTCTGTTTAGTTTTTCCCCCCTCATAGTTGAAAAAATGCAAGCTATCAGAAACAAGCCTATGTTTGAAGGTACAGTTTTCAACATGTGAGTAGGAAACATATGTACTGGCACTATTCAACAGCTCTGTAAGGGCTGTGCTCGAATTTTGGCTTTTAATCTCAGCTTTGTTAGAGAGTGATGCAAAATGGAATGGAACCTGATTATTTGTGCTATAGCCTTGTGATGCTCATCCTATAACTGTTGGGGAGAGAAGCACAACACTCTGCTAAAGCTTTGGGTGAGCCTGAGTTTCAGGGGGACTCTAGTCTTCACAGGTTCTCACTTCACTGCCTTTCTTCCCTTAGTATTTGTTATACGGGATTTTTTTTTTTCTGCTTTTCTACATTTTAAAGTGAGTACAGGCTCAGTCCTGCTAAGAGAACTCCCTCCATCACAAGCTCACATTTGGAAAATGCCTGCCCATTTCGACTGCCCCCCTTCAAGTCGAAAGGGAGAAAAGGGGAGAAAAGAAAACCTTAAAAGAGAAAGAGAGAAGCGGAGTGGAGGGAAGGGGGAGAACCCCTGATTCCCCAGTGACCTGCACAGCTCGGACAGACCTCCAAGATCCCTTCTGCCTCCTGCAGACAAGCCCCGACGGAGAGAAAAACCTCACATGACTAAACTTTTAACGTGGCTTGGGGCTTATACAATTCAGGCTCAATTTTAACAATCTCGGGGCGGGGAGGGGTGGGAGGCGACAAAGGAGAAGAAAGTTTGACTTTACGTCTCTAAAAAAATCACCACAAGCCAAACCCCCAGCCATCAGCAAAAGCGCCCAGTGTCCCCGGCAGCTGGTGCCCTCCCGCCACACAACGGCGGCGGCTGGCAGGGAGAGGCAGCCCCAGCCCTGGCTGCCGGCACCCTGCGAGCAGCTCTGCCCCGGGGCTCCCCTCGCTGCCCCGCCAAGGGAGCTGCCCTCCCTTCTAACGCTGAGAGGGGACAGCAGCCCTGCCTGGGGTCTGCGGGGCTGGCATGGAAGTTTTTTGGCACTGCTAAAGGCGCGCACACACACACACACACACACACACACACAAATATATATATATATATATATATATATATATATATAATACACACACGTCTTTATATATAGATTCATATGTAGGTGTCTAGTCTATGTTTAAATTATTCTATCTATACACACAGTCCTCCTCTGATGAGGTCATTCTCCCATATATATGAGATTGGGTGTAAGATGCCAGAATCTAACGCCAAGATCTTATCACTGCCGATCTAAAAGCAATATAAAGTAAATGTTAGCAGAAGGGGAAATAAATTTTGGAGAGAAACATTCAACAAGGTGTCCCTGAAGGCTTTTCCCCCGCCCTCCCCACCGATGTGCCCACGCACTTTATGCCAAAGAGAGCCGTTTCTGCAGAAGAGACTCTTGCTTCAGAGCAAGGACAGACTGCAGCCCTCATCGTGGGTCTGTGCATAGCAGGGGCTGTACCTTGACATTTTTAATCCCCCTTTCCCTTTCCCGAGCAATGCTCTCCTCTCTAATGCGCTAATCGGCTGCAGCTTATTTATTTTTATTTTTTTCCCTTGTGGCTCCAAATGTCTTAATAATTTTTTTTTTTTTTTTAATTTCAGGAAACTCAAAACGGAAGGGGGGAATGCTACTTGAAAGTGTGACTCAAAGAAAAGGTTTTGCTTTGCAGCCATCAGTAGCACCAGGAGACAGCTCCATTAAAAAAGTAGTTTTCCACTGCTCTTGAAAAGCCGTTATTTTTTACATCGCTTTTAGGAAGATAGATTAACAAAACATCACATTTCAAGCCACTCTGATCTGTAATTAAATGGAGGAGCCGGTTTGTATTCTCCTATGGCTTTTACAGAAGTTGCAGTGATCCAAAGTCAGGTTGCTGTGTCAGAGTGGCATTTTTATTAATGAGAATACAAAAAGCTTGCATATTCTTAGCCCGGCTTGAATTTAGTTGCTAAGCAACCGCTGTATGGTAATTCATCCGCGAAATTTAAATCTCGGAGAAAGGATCCTGCGTTTTGCTGAATGGTCGCCACGAGGAAAACAACTTGTGGGACCCGCGGCAGCTGCCGCCGCGGCACCGCGCCGCCCGCCCGCCGGCTCCCGCGGGCCGCCGCCGCCCCGGGACGGCCGCCGGGGACGGAGGGCAGGCGGGCAGCAGCGGCCGCCCCGTCGGCGCTGCCGCGGCCCAGCCTCCCCCGAGCGGAGGAACGCGGCACCCCCGTTTCCCGACGCGCGGCGCGGCCCGGGCCCCGCCGCCGCCGCCCCGGCTGGGCAGGGGTGCGGGGGACGCGAGTCCCGTCGCAGCCCCGGGGGCGAGGCCCCGCGGGCAGCACTGCGAGCCCGGCTGCTCCTTTGGTGTCGGGCAGGACGGGATGGGCGGCGAGCCTTCCCCCGTTCGGCCTTCACCCCTTAGCTTTTTGTGTCGCCAAAGCCTCTCGGCCAAAGAACTCCCTACTGCTGTGTCATTGACACTGCGGGGCCGCTCGCCGCCCTCCTCTCCCCTCGCTCCGCCGCCTATTGAAGGCTGCGCCCGCTCCATTGTGCCAAACTGCAACTGAAAACACCGATGGGGCAATAACCACCTCCCTGCATCTCCTCCGATCGCTCCATCCAGCCACCCGTTCCTCTCGCCAGAGGCGACCAAGCTTCTGGTCAGCCCTGGCATTAGCAAAATGAATCCCTGTCCTCAAGCGCTCGCCCCACGCCTGCCTCCGAGGTCGGGACTTGTTGCGTCCCTTTTAGAGTTTGATTAATTACCCTGGAACTTAAGCAAACTAAAGTACATGTGGCGAAGAAGCTCACGCCTACAGTTTGTCCTGCAGCTTGCCAGTTACAGAGGTAATCTTTACACTCGCTGCCAAATCGGAATGTGCATCTCTGCGCTTCAGAAAGGTATCCCTGTATAAATATATAGAAGTATCGATTTTGCTGTAGCTTGAAGATGTTGATCATTTATTACAAAAATAAACGAATAAATACAACAATGTATTGTTGCTTTCAACAGGATAAATATTTTACAAATATATAATTTTTAAAAACCCAAATTTAATTGTTAAAGTTATTTAAAATAGTACACTTATTGATAAAATTATCAATAGTATATACTGCATTTCATATTAGAACCAATTATTCTCTAAACGTTCCATTTAAAACCATTCATACAAAACAAGTTATGAGCATTGTAATGTGCAAACACGAATAACTACATTAAAGCATAAGGATTCTGTAAAGATCACTTTCCGATAGGAACTGCGGCGTTTTTAAACCAAAGTAGAGCTCTCTGCTAAATTTCGGAATATATACGCAGACCAACAGCAGTGACATGACTATTTTAAATACACCTGAAAATGATTTATTGTGTACAGACTCGACGGGGGAAGGATGGGATGTGAGTGAGAAGACTGGGGCGTAATAGAGGACCGCAGGATATGAAAATGTAAACTATAAATACACATCTCGGGATTACCCAGTCTGATCAAACATAACTTTGTAAAACATTTGGCTTTCCTTTAGGCAGGGAAAAAAAAAAAAAAAGAAATAATAATTTTAAAAAAGAGTAAGGAAAACGATGCTGACTCTATTACCAAGCACAGAACACTGATACTATAAATGAATACAATTACTAAATTCATTAAGCGATCTGGCGATATATAACAATATTTTCATTATTTACACGTGTAACAATATAACCTTTAGCGCAAACCCTCTCACTTATTATCTACCCCTTGCTATCTCAGAGACTCACAACCCTGAAATTCCTAAATACATTCAAAGGATTCAGTTTCTCGGGGGCGGGGGAGGGGGCGGAGGGGCGGAGGGGGGAGCGCCCATGGCCTCACTTTTTGTGCATAACAAGTCCACGGAACGGGCACATTTTGCCGGTCCTTCCGACCACACGTTACTCCTCCAGCCTAACCCCCAGCTTTTCGGAGGCAGCAACCCGCAAAGGTTGCCTTTTAATAGAAACCAGCGTGAAGCCTAACGTTAGCTCTTTGTTGCCATCCAAATCGAGTAACCAAATACCGCTCCGAAATTTAAATAGACTTTCTCCGCGGCTAATACAACTGCTCCCCTTCGTGTGTGAAAACAGGATCCCACCTCACGTGTCAGTGGTACCCGGCCCCGGGAGGGGAGCCCGGCCGGGCCGCCTGCACGCTGGCCCCCGCCCGGACCTTCTTCCCTCCCCAGCTGCAAAATCAGCCAGCAGCTTCTGCTAAAACGAACAAAAGAAATAGCGTCCTTTACCCTTTCGGGTTCTCTTTCCCTTTGTTGGGTTGGCTTCTTCCCCCCACCCCCCCGCCCCCCCCCTCTTATTTCCTCCGTTGTCAGTAGGGCCTTTCGGATTTCACAAATCAAACGGACGGTGATATTTACTACGAGCTGGTGTTAAAATAATGCATCCCGGTGCGCGGCTCCCAGGTTGGCTTTGATTTATGGACTTACACAGGGCCTATCTGAAAGGAAGAAATGCTTGTTGTTCCTACAGCAGTTTTCTGGGGGGTTAACCCCTGCCTCAACAGCACGTAGAGAAGCAAGGCAGGAGGGAGGAGGCGCAGAGGAGGGGAGGAAGAGGAAGGTGAAGGAGCCACAGACGAGCTGGATCATAAAAGAAAATCTTATTCTCCAGCAGACTATCAATGGGGGCGAGTGGATGCATTAGATGCAGCTTGCAGCTCTCTACTTCCCACAACCTCCCCGCTGCAAAATGAAGACAGTTGAGGTGGTCATTCACTTGTCCCTACATTGCAATAAATTCTAGTGGATAAATATGACAGGTCAGCTAGTGCATCCATTGGCATCTCCAACGTTACTGACACTCGCGAGTGTTTGCAAAGAAGGCATGGCAGCGCTATGGCAAAGTGGAGGAGAAAACTAGACTACACCACTTCACACCCCATAGAAAAACCTTAAAACAACAACAACAGCCACAGCAACAGCAACAACAGAAACGGTGAACTAGGCAGACCGCACGTGGGATGTTGAAAGTAATATTCTATATATTCGATCAAAATAAAAATATAAAAAATAATTTCCTTTAAATTATAAAGATAAATTAAATACAAATATTAATACATACATAAAATTAGTCAAAATAAATTATAGCTCAGCCCCCCCTTCTCCCTCATTGCCCCCCACCCCCCCCCCCCCCCCCCCCCCCCCCCCCCCCCCCCCCCCCCCCCCCCCCCCCCCCCCCCCCCCCCCCCCCCTCCGTCTAGCCTCAGTTTGGAAAGAGAGGAAACAAGACTGAACTTTTGGAAACATCCCTCTTAGCACCGGCCACGCGGGACCTGAGGACGCGCTCAGGTACCGCCCGCGTCCGAGTGCCAGCCTAAACCGAGGCGCCACAGCCCTTTCGGGGAGAAGGTGGCGTTTGCTGAGCTCCCATCTCGCCGTTCTTCCCGGTGACACAGGGTCCCCGGGGCTGATGGAAGGGACCGCGGACACTCGGGCTCGGCGGACAGGCGGGCAGGGGGAGAGCCCCGCGCCGGGCGAGCAGCAGCAAGGGTGAGGCGGGGGCACTGCCGGGGAGCACGGGCCGTGCAGCCGGCAGGTAGGACCCTCGGTATTTCTCTCACTTTAGCAGTATGTCCCTTCAGAGAACTTTTTGTTTGTTTGTTTTTCGACACAGTGTTTATGCATCAGACACAGACTATTTCATTCTAACAAATTTATTTTCTCAATCAGCTCTTACGGAATCACTACTCAAATTAAATTACAATCAAATTATCACATCAAAAGATACCCTTATTACCTAACAACTGTCCATATTTTCATTTCATTTTGATTTGTGCTCGTCTGAAAAAAACACGTAATACAAGATCTGGGGAAAAAATAAATTACCGTTTTGCAGCAGTTCATAGGTATTCTGAATAAAATATTAAAAGAAGTCATTTAATGAAAATATAAAGCAAATTTTTTTTTTTAGATCAACAACGGATCTAACAATTCTATATTGCCGTCTTTTTGAAAAGTCTGTTTATTAAAACCTACCAAAAACACTGCTTGGAAATGGCAGTATTATATAATCACATCCACAGCACCCATTCAATCAAAGTTGGCAACGGATTTAGGAGAGGAGAAGTTCAGATAAGTGCAGCTGCAGATGCTCAGTCCTTCTAAATCCCTTTATCTGAATCAGTCCAGAAATAAAAAATAAAAATATTAATAAAAAAAATATTAGCAGTGGATTTTTTATGACTCTTCCATGATGATTGGCAGCCGTCAGGAACAGGACTTTGACAGCCCTAAATTATTTCCCTTTCTTTCCCTGGTTCCTTTAATTCATGCAAAGTCCTTCTACAGAGCTCGAACTTTAGGGACCAACAACCTCTCCTTCTCTCACCCTCCCCCTGGCGTCTGTCCCTCCCCCCTTTCTCCTCAGGGTCAGTTTTCTCCGCGTGCGGGCATTTATTTCCATATTTTTGTTCTACAGCTATACCTATATATATAGATAAATATATATATATGTATTTGCTTCCCTATTCAGCCTGCTTGTTTTTAGTGCTGTGTGCATATTTTTTTTTTTCCTGGAAAAAGTGGACCCTTTCATTTTGCAGAATATATAGATATATAGATATATATGTTTTCAGAGTGGATATCTGCCTTGCACCAAAATTCTACGGTTTGGCCAAGAAAAACAGGGTGCTGGAATGCAGCAGGCACCCTCTGATTAACCAGATTATTTTTCTTCTGCTTCCCTTTTTTGACTGCTCCCATTGAAAAAAAAAATTAAAAAGAGGGAGAGAGAAAGGAGAAAAAAAGTTTCTGTGATTCATAGAAGAGAGCCCTTTTGGGGATGGGGGGAAGAGTGCACGGGGGGGGGGCGGGGAGAGGAGGAGGGAAGAGAAGAAGCGCAGACAGTGGTGTTCCTTACTGCGAGAAGGGGATAATTTGGAGAAAAATAAAAACAAAAATAAAATTTAAAAAGCCCAAGCCCACCCCCCAAGCCCTTTCCCCACAACCAACCAACCAACCAACCAACCCCCCGGCACATCTGCAGTTTTGGTGCATTATGCATCTCCACCCCGTTTTCCCAACACGGTCTAAACGCTCTCGCTCGGATCGACCTTCTCCACCGCTCCCTATTGGTATCGATCTTATATATATATAGATGCACGCTTATATCCATATATATATAAACACAAGCAGTCTGAACGAGCCTGGATCGTGTGTGTGTGTGTGTGTGTGTGTGTGTGCGCGCGTGTGTGTCTGTGTGAGCGTGCGGCTGTGCGCGGCGGTGCCGGAGCCGGTGGCGGTGCCGGCGGCGGTGCCCGGCCCGGCCTGGCCCGCGCTGCCCCGCGCTGCCCGGCCCGCCCGCGGTGCCCCTCACTGCACGCTGGTCTGCAGTCCGTGGTGAGGGGGCGGCGTGTCGGAGTTGACGGTGCCGACCTGGGAGTAGACATCGTCGGGGGTCTGCTGCTGGATCCCCGGGGGGGTCATCCGTTTCTCTTTCTGCCTCCGATTGCAAAACCAAACCCTGACCACCTCCTTCTCCAGCTGCAGGCTGTCCGCTAGGTTCGTAATCTCCTGGGCGGAGGGCTTGGGGCATTTCAGAAAGTGGCTCTCCAAGGCCCCCTTGACACTCACCTCGATGGAGGTCCGCTTCTTCCTCTTCCTGCCCTGGGCGGCGATCTTGTCGATGCTGGTGGGACTGCCCGTGGAAGAGTCGGCTTCCTCCAGCCACTTGTTCAACAAAGGCTTCAGCTTGCACATGTTCTTGAAGCTGAGCTGCAGGGCCTCGAAGCGGCAGATGGTGGTCTGCGAGAAGACGTTGCCGTAGAGGGTGCCCAGCGCCAGCCCCACGTCGGCCTGGGTGAAGCCCAGCTTAATCCGCCGCTGCTTGAACTGCTTGGCGAACTGCTCCAGGTCGTCGGAGGTCGGCGTGTCCTCGTCCGAGTGCGGGTCGTGGCTGTTGACGCCGCCGTGGTGCGGCGGGTGGTGCCCGGGATGCTGGTGGTGGTGGTGGTGGTGATGCCCGGGGTGCTCGCCCAGCTCCGGCGTCTCGCCGCGCACGAGCCCCGGGTGCACCAGGCTCTGACCGCCGGGGGGGGGGCTCAACATGCCGTTCACCGTGAAACCCCCGGGCTGCGAGTAGAGGAGCGACTGCTGCTGCTGCTGCCCGCCGGCCATGGAGGGTAGGTGGGCGGCCGCCGCCGCCCCCCAGGCCGCCGGGTGCCCCTGGTGCGGGGGGCCCAGGTGGGGCGGCCGGTGGTGCAGCGCCGCGCCCGAGTGCAGGTCGTCGCGTCCGCCGCTGCCCTTGACGTCGGGCGGCGGCGGCGGCTGCTGGGGGCTGCCCGTCATGCCCACGGGGCTGCCGGACCAGGGCGAGCCCGCTTCAGCGGCAGCGGCGGCGGCGGCGGCGGCGGCGGCGGCGGCGTGGGGCAGGGCTGTCACCCACTGGTGGGCATGGCTCAGCATATGGCCGCCGTTGCTGGCGGCCATGGCGCCCGGCATGAAGTCGCTCTGGACCATCTTGGCCGCCGGGTCGCCGCGGTAGCCGCCCGCCACCGAGGTGACGGCCACGCTCCCCGGCTGCATGCCGCCGCCGCCGCCGCCGCCGCCGCCGCCCGAGTCCGCGTGGACGATGGAGCCGGCCGCCAGGATGCCGTTGCCGGGGAGGTAGGGGTTAGAGGTGGCCGCGGCCATCCCGCGCCCGCCGCCCGCCGCTCGCCCCCGCCGCGCCGCAGACGCCGCTGCGCCGCCGCCGCCGGCTGCCGGGCGCCCGCCGCGAGCGCCCTTGCCCGGCGCTGCCGGGGCCGCTGCCGGGGCCGCCGCCCGCGCCGCCGCCGCCGCCGCCGCCTTCCCAGCCTCGCCGGGGCGCCGGGGCGCGGGGTTCACCTGCTAGCGCTCCGCTGCGCGCTCTCCTCCGCCCGTCCGCCGGCCGTCCTGCCTCCGCTCCGCGGCGCGCTCGTTGCGGTCACCGGCTCTCGCTTCGCCTTTTATATTTTTTCAGCTTTTCTTTTTTTTTTTCCAAAAAAAGAGAAATATTTAGCTGTACATGTAGTTTTCCTCCGCCTTCTTCTCGCCCGGGTTTGCTGCTCGCAGGGAGGAAACCAAACAAAGGCTAAAAAGCGAAAAAAAAGGGGGGGGGGGGATCAAAAAGCCCCCGTGCCTTCTCCCCTCCGCTCCCCTAGGAGTACATCTCCTCCTCTCAGCCTTCCCCTCTCAGAGTGAAACTTTTCCTTTTCTTCTTCCTTTAAGGCTTTGTGTGTGGTTATATTTTCCTTTTTTTCTGCCTCTCTCTCTGTCTTTCTCTCCTCGGTTCCTCGATCTCCTTTTGCTCTGTTAATTGCAAGTTTTGTTGGTGTCCTAAGAAAACTTCCTGTGATGATGATGGTGGTGATGGTGGTGATGATGCATTTCTCAAAGTTGTGCTGTTGTTGAAGCACTTTGTCCCCTTTGAAACAAGAGTCCTGCCGGAGCCTTCTTGCTAGAGTCACGCTCTGGATAAGACATTTTTTTCTCTCTACCTTTCCTTTTGGCGGTCGGAAAAAAAAAGTAAAAAGAAATTTAAAAAGTTGAATTTTGTCGTTACCTCGCGATTTGTTTCTTTCCCTCTCCCGCTCTCTCTCTCGCTTGGTTTGTTGTCTTTTTTTTTTTTTTTTTTTGGTTTTGTTTTTTTTTTTTTTTTTTTTTTTTCCAGCAGTTGGTCGAGGGAGGAGGCGGAGGAGGAGCGCCTTGGTGGAGAGGTGTGTGTATGTGTGTGTGCATATATGGTATCCTTTATACACTAACTCCAGCGGGGAAGTTGGCTGCCGGGCTGGCAGCGCGCACTGGCGGTGCCGGAGTCCCGCCGCTCGCCTCTCCCCGCCTCCCTCTCTCGGGCCGTGCCCGCGCCCTCCCTCCTCCCCCCGCCCCCCGCCCTCCCCGCTCCAGTCCGTCCGTCCGTCCGTCAGTCCCTCCCTCTCTCCCCTCCCTCCCTCCCTCCCGCCGCCGCCCGCGCCGCGAGCGCCCGGCCCCGCCGCGAGGACGCGGCCGCGCCGCCCCCGCCGATTGGCTGCGCGCCCCGTGACGGACAGCGCGCCGCCGGCCGCGCGGCCCCCCTTCCGGCCGTTCCGATTGGCTGCTTTTTAATTTAGGCGAAGTGGCGTCGGAGATGGAAGTTGCCCCCCCTTGCTTCTATCCCTCCTCCCTCTCCCCTTCCTCCTTCCTCCTCCCTCCCTCCCTCCCTCCCTCCGCCTCTTAACTCTTCCTGCCCGGCGGACACACCGCTCGGAGCTCTCCCGCCGTCGCCGCTCGGGCAGGAGCGAGTGCGAGCGGTAATAATTAATACCAGCAGTAATAACGACAATAATAACGACGCCGGCACTGGGCTGGATTCGGAAAGGCGTTTGTGCCAAGGTGTCACCATCGGGCACACGCGCCCGCTTCTCTCCCACCGGCAGTGCCCGTACCGGCATTCGGAGCTGGCCCCCCCTGCGCTCAGCCCCGGAGGCACCCGCCCCCCGCCCGCCCCCTCCTCCCTTTGTCCGTCCCCGCACCCCGGGGTGCGCCCCGGACCCCGGCAGCCCGTCCGCAGCCGTCACGCCGGGGGGCTGGCCCGGCAGCGCCGGAGAAGGGCCGCCCCGTCGGCGGGGGAGGTGGCAAGGGGAGCCGGCGTCCGGGCTTGCCCTGCGCGCTGCGGTCTGCTCGCAGGGAGCCAGCCCAGCGGCATGAAACGCTGTATTATTTCTCGTCCAGCGGAAAGAGTTAAGGGGGGCGGGGGAAGGCGGGGGGCGCGGGGGAGAGATGCGACCGAGCGGAAACACTGCGCGCAGGCAACCTCAGTGAACCACGGAGAAAGAGAAAGTGGCAACAAAAACAAGGGCAAATTGAACGCTCCTCGGGGACCGCCGGTGCAATAACACCGCTCGGACACGGAGGGGACACGGCGCTGCCAGTGACCGCCTCGCCGCGCGGCGCCGTCCCACGCGCGCTCCCGGGTGGCGGGGGCCGCGCGAAGACAACGCGCGGTGCGGGCACGGGAATGGGCAGCGTCGTCCCCCGCATGGCCCTGCCCGCCCCGCTCCCTCCTCCGCTCGCTGAATAACCCGGCCCTGGGAGGCGGTGAGCTGCGTCCCGCTGGCAGCGCCCTCCATGCCGTCCCGCTCCCGCCGCGCTCGGCAGCCGGTGCTCGGGGCTCCCTCCAGCCCCCGGCTGGCACGGCACGAAGTACCACGGCAGGTCGGGTTAGAAAAAACATTCAAGTGAAGCGTACGGATCTTAAGGGCGCTGGTAACTAAACACCAAACATAATAATTTTATATATATATATATATATATATATATATATATATATATATATATATATATATATATATATGTATGTATGTATGTGTATATAT